GGCTTTCCGACGACGAACCCCTCTCTTGTCAAGGAGAAGAGGCTGCCATGACATGGCAAACGAATGCCACGCCTACACAAGAGACGGGTTGGCAGCTCAAATGGGATCATCAGTGTTGACCAAACAGATCAATAAGATAGGGAGATGGGGTAGTACGTTTACGTCCCTCTTTGGTCGGGCGCTGGTCCTTAATACGTCTGTCTTCTCAATGATGTGGTACATAGCTTCCATCTGGACAGTTCCCGACAGCTCGGTGAAGGAGTTGAATCGTAGAGCCAGGCTTTATCTGTGGACAGGCGACCCCCACAGAGAAAAATGCATCCCTAAGATAGCTTGGCACTATGTCACAAGGAAGCCTAGGAATGGAGGCCTGGGCCTCATTGACCCGGAGACAGAGACCAAAGCCTTGCAAATAAAATGGATCATTAAACTGCTGACAAAACCAAACACCGCTTGGAACAAGTTGGCGTTAGATAGCATCAGGGCGGTGGCCCCTACCCGCTCCCCAACCGACATGTCAGGTTTGTTCTGGGTCATGAATAAGGAATGGAGGATAACAACGGGATGCAGAAATCGGACTAGGAATAACAGACCAGAAGATGTCCGACCTCCCTCCCCGTACTGGCCGGTTCTGCTTCGACTCTGGAGGAGAATCTGTCCCACCAAGATCAACAGACCGAAGTCGAAAGACGAAATACTCAGACAACCGCTATTTGGTAATGAATGGATAACGAACGAGGCCAACAATCCGATATATATGGAACAAAAATGGTTGTCATGGGTCAAGAATGGGATCTGGAAGATAGACCATTTGTGGAAGGAGGACAGAAAAGACTGGGCTACGGAACAAGAGGTTAATGCGCAACTGAAAGGGTGCCACAGGAGAGAAACCTACTTGCAGTACCTAATTAGCCGCATCCCGCAAGAATGGAAGGACATCCTTGCCAAGGACGAGCCATGGAGAGCCGGGGACTGGTACCTCTTGATCCAAGACACCCCTCCTACCAGAGCCTACCAATTTTCACACATGCAACGTGATTCACCCACCAACGCCATCTTCCATTCCTTCCCAATATCCACCACGGGGTCAGATATGCCAACCATCCATAATCGGGAAGTCAAATGCTCCACACTAGAGTTTTTTCTCCTTAGGAAGGTTAGGGTTATAGGCACATGGCCGAAGTCGATTTTTAGACCAGATACGGCTATCCGAGCCTTAGAATTTGACCCGGGAGAATGGGCATGGACCTCAGGCAGCAATCGGAGTGTCAAGACGAAAACACCGGTTCAAGACTATACCGTTAAATTTGGGTACGATCTACTACTGAAGACCAAAGACCCAGATCCCATTATCCTAAACAGATGGCGAAAGCTGGTGGGACACGAAGCCGACCAAGTTCAACAGATCCCATGGAAAAAATATGCACAGATCAGACCAGTTAAGATCAGAAGTCTGCAGTGGCTGATAGCGTATGCTGACTTACCAGTGAACCAGTGGCTGCACACTAGGCGCAAAGCTACTAATCCGGATAGCTCGAAGATATGTACAGTTTGCTCGGCAGGAGCGGTAGAGGTCATAGTTCACTGCTTGGTGCACTGTGTGGAGGCGACAGATTACTGGGCGAGAGCGTCTTCCCTGTGGAACTCCCTCTTTTCTTCCCCCTTCCCTGAACAACCCATCCAACTACTCCTCCTCACAAACATCCCCACGATGACTCGGAGGGCGGAAACGATTTGGTTTGAACTCATCAGGAAGGTGACTCTCTGGGTGATCTGGAAGGAGAGATGTAGCAGATCAATTGAAGGACTATCAAATCCAAGGGACAAGGTATGGAAAGAGTCCA